ATCCATTGGTAATACATATTTTATTACATATTTATCACTTTCTATTAATGCATTACCCACTTCTCATTTGACAGGGATTTGGACGGTGTTTGCTTTTACCTACTATGAACAATGCTGGTCTAAACATTTATGTAGACATGTCTTTCTGAGTATTGTTATGGGCTTGTTGTCTCCCTCACCACCAACTCAAAGGTTGAGTTCCTGCCTCCAGTATCTCAGCATGCATTTTTCTCCACGTAACCATCATTCTGTCCAAGTAGAAACCCTTGTTTCCATGTACTTAAACATTTTTGGGTATGTTTTCTTAGAAACATTACAATGCTACTTAGGAGATGGACTGTAAACAGTAAATATTTGCCAAGTAAAAAAATCCTATAATTTAAGTAATTTGTCTGGCCCATTTGGGGATTTTCTCCAGGGTGGTTATCAGTCAGGATTTGTCCACAGTAGAAGAATCAGTTGCAGTTACATACTAAGAATTTAAGATAATTGATTTACATAGTTGTGGAGGCTGGCAAGGGAAGTCTGAAATCCGGAGGGCAAACCACCAGGCATGAGCTGATGTTCCTATCCATGGGTAGCACCTCTTCTTTTTCTGGGAAGTTTCATTTCTGTTCCTAAGAGCCTCGCTAGTCTTGGACTAGCTTCTTAAATAGGTTGCTTATGGATTTCACTTTATTTTGGAAAATTCTTGGCAATACAGAAATGAGTGACTGAATAAGTGGAACCATAACCTGGCTAACTGGACACAGAAAACTAAGTTTTGGAGGTGACAGTTATTTTTGTGATCACGGAGTATCGCTGTTTTGCACTGGATATTATAAAAGATGTTCCTGGATGTTATAAAAGATGTTATATGCAATCTCAACCTTTTCATTTTTCCTCTTCCAAAATTAAATGGAACTTTTTATTACAAAGTCCACCCAACTTGCCTGTATTGTTGTTGCTGTGTGGGTAGTTTTCTTTCTGTAATAGGTTGTTGGATCTAATCAATCAGTTTTCATGTAGCAACTTCTTACAAGTTTAGCTAGAATTTGTGCTAATCTCTTGAATAGAAATCGAAAATGATTTAAAAACAAGCTGTCACAGTGTTTCTCAACTTTTGAGGCCAAGAAATTCTTTCTGTTTCAAAATGATGGAATGTTCTAGTTTTTGATTTTTATTGGTTATATCTACAACTATTTTCTGTATGATATTAAAATAGCTCATTAAAATATTAAACCTAATACATATTAACATATAATAGCAATGTATTAAATTTTTTTCCCTAAATACAACTTAGAGAAAACAGAATTTTGCAGATCTCTTTAATGTTCTTTAACAGAAGGCAGCCAGATTCTTATATTATCTGCTTCTTCAATAACTGTATTGAGTATGTTGGTTTCGTTGATACCTGTGAAGAAAATCTTAGTTTTCAGACTTCTTAGTCTTGGGGACCTCCAAGCACACCTGGAAAGTGTGGCATCCCTGTAAGAATCTGACCAATGACACACTTGCTTGAGGGAGCTGCCAGAATTCATAGCATTTTTGAGTTTATTCTTTGAAATGCACCCATGCACGGTTTCCTCCCCTATGCGCTGATTCCAGGTTAGCAATTTGTGGACAGACATATTCCTATGTAATGGCGATAACTGCTTTTCCCAATAACAAGACACAATTTCAAAACCACAGAGGGAAAGAATATTGGAAGGAACAACACAGGAAGAAAGGAGGGAAACAATAATTAGAAGGTGTTTTACTCAGTAAAGGGATCATTACACAGATTATGGAGACTACTTAAATTCTATTTTGCTGAAAGACTGAAATATGAAGGATTTGTTTTCAATGTAACAAATCATTGTCAATAAACAAAATCAGTCTTGTGTCACTAATAGTAAACAACGGAACAGGACACAAGGGACACTGTGGAATTTCTGCTCTTCAAAGAATTCTAAATGTCCCCAAATGGCTGTCTGAGGGCTTGGAGAAGCTGGAGCTGGCAATCATGGTTCCTGCCAAGTTCTTGTGCTATTTTCTGTATGTGATACTATCTGTTCTATAACTCCGAGGCAGCCACAAATACTTATTGTGAGACTTGAATTCCCTTTAGGGTTATCGATTACACAGCTTTCCTCTAACAGAAGGGTTGCAAGTAGTTCATAGCCCTCACATGTGGCGCAAATTCACAGAGCTCACAGTAGAGGTACACAGAAATTCTTAGAAACAGCACATTTTATAAAAAACAATCCACTCACTTTGAAGATGAATTACTGAAGATTAGATTTGATTTTCTTTACCAGAGGGGGGAAAGCTCAAAATGCATTGCTTGCACTGTACTGTTGCAATGACACTTTATTTTTACATTGGAAGACCAGTTAAGAGTATAAAATGGCATATTACTGTGGGAATTTGGTTAGCTAAATTCTAGAAAAATGAAAGACACTTTTGTTAAATTTCAGTTGGACTTTGGTCATTTATAAAGTACAGGTGACTTCTTCACTTCCAAAGGTTATCATTTAGCTTAATAAATACAAGAGATCTCAAGCAAACTAAATCTGGTCCAGGCTATTAAATGAGAGCCTAAGATTTAAAGACATTATTTCTTCCTTTGTTCTCTTGAAAAGGTCTTGCGTCGATTAATCATGTACTACTAAATGCAATTCCTAAATATTTCAATAGTTTTGTCATCAACTACATTTATAAAGTATTAGTAGTTTTATGTTGAATTATCATGTTAAAATTTTTAGTTTGTTGTTGTTAATGACATGAAAGGGACCAATTTCTCTCTTTTCCACACTGAAGACTGACTCCTGGGCTTCGTGCATATACACAACCAGAGAAGGCCTAGAACTAAATGCATGCTTGTTAGGCCAAAATCATACATAAAGGGAAGAGCTGAACCGGTAACAAAGACAGTAAAGCTATCTGGGCTTGACCCAAAAGACTATGGAATTAGGTAATATGTAGCTTGCCATGTATATACATAAATCTTTCTGTTCTAGCAAATGCATCTGGAGTTATTTAATAGTGAGCAATTCCCCAGATCCAAACATATTTCAGCTCTAAGCACTGAGGGCTCTTCAAAGGGTTCAGGTATCTTATTTATTCTGAGTAGTTCATTTATAGAGCACCTACTTAAGAACAACTATAAAGTGATATTTCAGAGACTCTATACAATGATGGAGAAAGGGAACTAAAAAATCCTTTGTAGCCAAGAAGATGTGGACATCAGAACAACTGGAAAAACTCATAATAACTGTACTGCAGAAATAACAAATGCATATAAAATACATTTGGCAACAATGTGTGGAAATCAGTACAAAGATTTCTCAAAAAAACTAAAAGTAGAAAGTCTACTTGTCCAAGCTATTCCATTTTCAGATATCTTCCCTAAAGAGCAAAGGCATCATATTACAGTGACACAAGCACACCTATGTTTATGGCAGCACGATTCACAATAGCTAAATCCTAGAAGTAACCTATACATCCGTCAACAGATGACTAAAGAAAATGTGGTAACTATACATAATGGAGCACTACTTAGCTAACAGAGAGGAATAAACATGAGACATTTGTAGGAGCATGGATTCACCTGAAAAACAATGTTATGGGAAATAAATCAGACACACACGCTTAAATACCATATAGTCTCTCTAATTTGAGAAAGGCAAAGTTAAAAAAAAAAGGGGGAGAGCAAAATAAAAAACTGATAAAAGGAATCAGGGAGTCAGATCTTTTTATAAATGGAAAGGAGTCTAAGAGGCTGAGGGTGAGGGAATAGGGGAGAGGAAGGGGGCACAAAAGGATTTAAGATGCATCACCTAGAGGTACCTAATATAATGAATACAATCATTATATGTAGCACATGAACTAAAAGTAACTAAATTAACAAATAAAAATGGGGAAAATAATCTAGAGATGGAGGGAGATGAGTAGAAAGGGAAAGGGGAATAGGAATGAAAAGAATCAAGATATGTTAAATACATGCACCTGCTCCCTTAGACGAATGTCAACTTCATGGGCTATAAACACGTACTAATAGAAATAAAGTATGGAATTCCTTAGAATTAGTAATCTTGACATCATTTTCTCGAGGCAAGACAATACATATGGTCTATGGCTTAGAAATGAAACAATTCCACAATTTCAATTTCCACTAAAATATTTATTTAATTGAAGATATCTTACAGAAATAAATAAGAGTAGTTTTTCTCTAATACAGATCAGTATATCTATGTCTATATTTTTTTTTATAAAATTGAAGCATATCAAATTGTTTTCCTTAAAACACAGGACATAAAGGAATACTAGGAAGCCAACAATACTGAAATAGTTTCGTTATTAAATTATAGCTATGGGTCTTCAGAACCTCAGCATCACTTTGGATTTAGTGAAAGAACGTGAGATTTGTAGTTGGTTGCTAAGCGCCACTGTTTTTCTGCTACATGTTACAGGCAGGTTTCTCAGTATTTCTAAACCTCTGCTCCTTACTGTTAGAACAGGAATTAAATTAATTACACCAACTTCCCTGGGTTGCTTGGAAAAATAAACACACAAATGTACGGAAAAGCTCTTTATAATACGCGAAGAGCTACAAAAGTAATAACTGTTTAATTTCATATAAAAGAATCAATGCATACCTCCCATCAACTGAAGTATAAGCACCAGAAATGTGTGTTTTCCTCAGCTGAATTATGTCATGCTATAAACCTGGAGTAAGAAAATGCACCTTTGCTAAGCACCAAAGCCTCTTGGTGAAGAAGGTCCAGCGGCTATTTCTATTACAGTTTTCCAGGCAGTGAAGTAGGAGCTAATGAGTCCTGAGGGTTATTAAAACTCTGAAGGATCAAAGAAAGCAAAAAGAAACAAGAGCATTTATTGGATTACCTCAGATGGCTGGGACACAGTGAGCTACTCCTCATTCAGTGATTTGAGAGTTCATTAATTCTTCACAGAAGAAGAAACACTTGGTTTTTATGACTACAATTATTTGCTTATTGTGACAAAGCATTCTCTTGTTCAAATCAAACACTAGTCCTTCAGGAAAGAATGACTGAAATGAAATAAATTCTGTCATAAATTTAGATATTAGTGGCTAAAATGTGTAGCTACATAAGAACACAGGAAAGGAAAACAATCCGAGACATTGGTATAATAATGACTTAAAACACCTGCCATAGTTCCATGTTATAATGGTAAGACTGACAATCATAAAAAATTGCAATATTTACAGATATATCAATCAAAATGTAAAAAATGAAAAAAAATTAAGAGTACAGATGACAGTTAATTGTAAGGTAAATGTTAATATACTTAAAATGCTATTTAATTTAGAACTAACAACACTGACACCACTTAACACATAATTGAAAAATACGAAGTTTTCAGTATTTTGATTTTAGTAGCAAGATGCAGAGAAAAGAATTGCCTAACATTAAGTTATTGCTAGAAGTTGAATTACTGTGAAATTACTATGCACAATGTTATGTTGAAACTTAGTGACTAGGAGGTCTTATCGTTCAGCATTTACTTAAAATATTACTGACAAGTTATTGGTGACTCATGTGCTAAAGACACTGAAGACCCTTCCAAAAATGAAATCTACGTTGGCTGAATATTCCAGGTCAGAAGAATTCGACAAATTGCTTTTTGCTCTTATTCTAGCTCTTTTAAAGATTGGTCTTATCAAAAGAAAAGTATTTGTTACCTCTCTTAATTCTCCTGCCTGTACGGATATATTTTGCAGAACAAAAATACACATTTTACTAGGGCTGGAAAATTAAAAATCTTTATAGATCCTTTGAAAGCGGCAGATTGAAAAAGACTCAATAACAGTAGGCCAGTGTATAACCAAAACACGAAACAAATTCATTCGACTAGGAACAGTGTCTGTGACATCTACTGAAGTTTACTCTACAGCCACGGAAGCTTATTCATACATTGGCGAAGTGTGGGATGCAGCAGTGCAGTTCACTCGAGCTCCTCCGGTTCTTTGGTGAACAGGTCTGCCAGGCCGGCCACGGTCAGCACGGAGGCCTCCGAATGCTTCCCTGATGAGTTCATGTGACTGCAGGGTTTTCCAAGTGGACCCGGGCAGGAAGAAAGCCGAAGAAATCAGTGAGCACATTAACAACAGAAGACCAGACACATACGTGTTCCTAAATTGTTGTAATGGACCTAAAAAAAAGCCTTCCAGAAAAAAGTAGGTGATGAGATTATCACCGTTCATCAAACTTACTGAAGATTTCTATATATTATTTTGTGGCTCTGACACACAATGTTATTTCCAAGGAAGGAAGGAGAGATGGGAAAACGGGAGGGAGGAAGGAGGAAAAGAAGGAAAGAAAAGAGAAAGGAAGAAAGAAAGAAGGAGGAAGGGAAGAAGGGAAGAAAGAAAGGAAAAGAACATAAAAGAAAGAGGGCCCTTGTAAGGTTCGCCATAAAGCTTAAAATTATAATTTACCTCTGACCATGAAAAGCTAATGCGTCTAAGGAAGAATTCAGCAGCTTTTCTAATCGCTTTCTAAAATGTGCTTAGTGTAAACGACATCACTAAGGTCTGTCACATGGAGAGAAAGCCTTCCTGCTCAGAAGGAGGCCTCCCTTCCCACACCCACGGGTGGGAGCTTTCTGTCCACCTGCTGCTCTGCTACGCAAAGCAATGAGGAAACCCTCTCCTTCGAGGGAATCGCCCCTGACTGCTGTCTTCCGGTCCTGTCGCAGAGGGAGAACGCTATCAGTTTGTTTCAAAAATGACATTAAAGAAAATTCATAGCATAAATATTAGCAAGTTAATGATTTCAAAACCAAATCTTAAAACTAAGACTCTTTTGGTCTCTTTGCATCTATTCCGCCTCTGGACTGATACCACAATCACTGGCCAAGTTTTAAAATTCAGATATTCCTACTTGCAAGTAACTAACAAGTACTATGCTGTGATACAAGCTGCATTTTACACCTATAAAACTAAGGCCTAGATGGGCATAAATATATTTTATCTAATCCAGTTGTAGTGCTGCATCCAGTTGAGGCCATTTATCAGCTAGGCATCTTAGGGGAAGGCTGTTTCCATGGATACATGTAGAGAGAACTGGATATACGAAGCTGGAGCCGGGGTCCAATGGACATTTCCAGGTCAGGGATAACACCCGCAAGTCATAAGGGATACATACTTCAGAGTCCAGTTAAAGTGCTCTAATTCTAGCGCTCCATGAGGCTGAGGCAGGAGGATCATACGCTTGAGCTCACCTGGGAAATGTAGTGAGATGCTGTCTCAAAATAAAAAGGGCTGGGGAAGTAGCTCAGTGTGAAGGCCCCAGGTTCATCCTCAGTATCACACCACCCCTCACCCATGTGGTAAAGAAAAGTCTGAGTTGAAAATGTTTTTACACATTATACCCTATTAATAACTTAAATACAGAACATGTAAAACATTAACTGGGATATTCCAGATAGGTAAAATGTCATTCCTTACTCTACAGAAGTATTTGTTTGCATGTTTTGTTGCCTTTTAAAGTGAAGAAGTTCCAAACACACCCTATGTAAATAAACAGGGAAACCTTGCAGCACGTACTGACAGGAAGTTGCTCCCTACCTCCTCTCTGCAGTTTTCAGCATGGCCTGCATTCTTTCTTCTATTGTTGCTTTAATTAAGAATCTGTGTACAATCGTAGGTCTAGAAGGGACATAAAAATTGCAAGTTTAAAAAACATCTTTAATTAGTGGGCACTTCTCAAAAGAAAAAATACAAATGGCTAATAAGTGAATACAAAAAATGTTCAGCAACTCTGGCAATTAGAAGATGCAAATCAAAAAGCACTGAGATTCCATTTTACTCTAGAAAAACAATTATCATCAAGGACAAAAAACAATGAATGCTGGAAGCTTATGGGGAAAAGGAATGTAAGCTAGTACAACTACTATGGAAATTAGTACGGAGGCTCCTGAAAAACTAAAAATAGAGATTCCATTTGACCCAGCCGTCTCTCTTCTGGGTTTCTTTCCAAAAGAGCTAGATTCCGTGTAACAGCAACACACGCAGAGCCCTGTTTACAGTGGCACATCTGACAACAGCTAAACAGAGAATGCTGGAATATGAATCAATTCCCCAAGATGAGCGCGACTATAAACATGTATGTATCTAAACATATATTAATAAAAAAGCAACTAAAATAAAAGATTACAGGAACTGACTTAAGCAATACTCGCCAGTCCGTGCCCACTTGTGACACTCACCAGTGTACTTGAATGGAGGGCACTTCGGCACCATCTGATCTCTATGAACTAACACTCCAGTGAGGAGGCAATGAACACATGAGGGAGGGAGTCAGAGTTTCATGCAGAGATGATGTCAGGAGGAGTGGAACACAGGAGCTGGGACACGAGAGATGGGGGTGAGGCTGGGAGGCAAAGGGGAGCCGGAAGAGCATCCAAACAGAAGCAGGATTCGCTCCCGGGAGGAGAACACACCTGGAGAAAGCTTCAAATGTGTAGGAGGCGGACAGAAAGCCAGTGTAACACAACTATTACTGCTCACCAGGGACAGGGGACACAGAGGCTGGACTTTACTGTGGTTACAATGGAAAGCTCTCTCAGGGGTTTCAGGTATGATTTGATTTTCACTTTACAAGTCTCTATGGCTGTGGTGGAAGCAGGGAAGGCAGGTAAGAAGTTCTGGAGTCATGTAGGTAGAGAGGGTGGGTTGTACTCTGGTCGTGTCAGTGGGGATAGCAATTAGTCAGTAGATACGGAAATCTTCTGGAGGTCAACTTGACAAGACTTAAATGATAACTTGGACATGAGATGTGACAAATGAGATTCAGAAGAGCCCTAGATCTGTGCCAACTACAGATGATACTGCACAGTCTCAGATAAAGAAGGCTTGGGGTATGTGGGAGGGCAGTAGGGAAGCAGTTACGATTTGCCCATGTTAAGCTTAAGGTACTTATTAGTTAGGCTTCAGGAGAAGGTTGAGTTCGTGGATACATGTACAGAGAGAACTGGATATACGAGGTGAAGTAGGAGGTAAACAGGCATTTCCGGGTCAAAAGATCTATGAGAGTCACATACCTCAGTGCTACTTGTAGCACCAGGACTGCTAAGTAGGTCATCAATAATGTTAAGACCCTCATTTTGGTGGTATGGTAAGGCTAAAAACCCAAACAGAAAGGCTGAGAGAGAATGGCAGCTTTAGAAAGGAGAAGTGGAATGTAGGAGTAGGTATATTCTATATATATATTCATTTTATATTTTATTTTTCTTGGTACTAGGGATTGAACTCGGGTCTTTGCACTTGCGAGGCAGGAGCCAGAACCATTGAGCTAAATCCCCGGCCCTTGTTTTTTATTTTTAACTATCACATTCCTGCTAGCTTGAACCACTACTGATACAAGCCACCTGATGTGACTGTCCTATGCTGCATGTTGGGACAGTCATGCGCACACTACCGGTGGTTCAGTCACCTGGCAGTGAGGCATACAAATTGTGGCCCTGCTGTCAACATGTTTAAGATGGATAATATTAAGATGTATTTGTGTAGTGATATATTAATAGAGGAAAGTCCTTGAGAACGTGAGAATGGATGGGACAAATGGAGTGGCTGGCTTCTGAAAGCAAGGAAACACTTCTTTGTGACAAAAGGGAAGGCACACACTGTGACAGAGATGACCTATGTACACCCCTACCTGACACCAACCCCACACTTCAGTGTTAGCACTCTATTTCCTTCCCTTCTCAAGCATACTGATCCAGTATTCTTTTCCGCTCTTGCTTCCCTAGTTGTTCTGCCCCCTAATGAACCATTTTCTCCTTATTTCTCCCATTTGGAAGGACAAAAACAAAAAACAAAAATAAATCTGTCTTGATATTAATTGCTTCCTTTCTTCTGCAGCAAAACTCCTTAGTCCTGGTCCTGTGAGCTCCACAGAAAGAGCAGTGAATTGTAGCTAAAGCACAGACCGCAGCCCTACATCTACCACACTTTTCGGGCTCTGGACCAGTCACTTACCATCTCTTCAATGTATGTGTTTGTTAAATTAGAATATAAAGAATCCCATTCTTTCTTATAAGCACTCACTTCTACTATATCACTGAAAGTAGTTTTAATTACCATGCTGCTAAAACTAATGATCAGACCCCAATGATGAGATTCTTTATCTTGACATTTTCACAGCACACGACACAGCTGGTTATGTCTGTGTCACTGGTTTGATCATTTTCTGTGGCCTTTGCTCGTCTACTGCTGCACCTCTGATAGAGCCTTTTAACTTTGGGGTGCCCTGGAGTAGGTCAATGTGAAGGCCTTGTGTGTTCATTCCCCATTATCTCTACATAAAATAAAATATAAAAAAATCCTGCCCACTTTTTAGCATGTGCATTGCTCCTAGCACGATCAGCTCCACATTCTCTCCCACCCCACCGGGTGAGTGCAATGGCCTCTAGGGCCCTCTGTGCATCTACTCTACCTTGATCCTCTTCACCCTGGTCTGAACACAACACAGAATTGTTTCTTCTAATTCTGAGTTAGACCAAGACATTCCTCTGCTCAAAGCTTTCTGATGGGTCTTTTTATCAGACAGGGTAAAAGAAACATCCTCACAGTAGCCTCCTGGGCCCAGTGTAATTCTCTTCCCCAGAAGTCTTTGGCTTTATTCCTTCTTCTGTTCTCTGGCTCAGTCTTTTTCAGCACCTGGGCTCCTTGCTTCTCACACAGACCAGCCATACTGAGTGCACTGTCCTCTGAAATATTTTTTGCCAAGATATCTGCATGACTAACTTTCCCTTCTCTTCCAGTCTTTGTTCATGTTACCTTCTCAATAAAGTCTTCTGGGCCAACACCTGCACCTTTAATCTTCCTCACCCTGCTGTTCCATTTTAGCTCAGACATAGTATGTCTTTAGATGCTCTTGTTTATAAGCTGTCTCCCCACCAATTCTCTTACAGCTGGATCTCAAGTACTTAGAACAGTGTCCTGAACATAGAAGGTGGTCAACAAAACTACTGAGTGAATCACACAGAGACTGATGCAGGATGACTGTGCAAGCTTACAACAGCAAGATGAGATACTTTTAATCTGATTGCATCTATTTTCTTGATAAGAGGAAAAATCATCAGTGGGGAGGAGGAAGACATAGAAGACTTATAATCTCCACAGCAAGCAGAAAAATCCATCTAATAGAAAAGCACAGTAAAATTGTTGGATAGTGCCAAATAGCTTTTTAAGACTTGTGTGTAAATCTGAAATAAGCCCAGTCTAGGTTTTAGAAAAACACTGGTAGAACAAATTATCATTACAAATACAGCACAAAACAAACAAAAAACAAATCTAAGATATGCTGCAGTGAGCCTGCATTTAATAGAGTTAAACCACTTTGCCACACCTGCTTAATGGATTGTTTGATGAACATTTAAAATTAAGATGTTCTACGTGCTCTCCCAGCTACTGCTTACACAGCAGTCCGTATTTCCAGGTCTCACATGGGAGACCTCATCTCCTGCCAGTTTTTCTCATACTTCAGCAATTTCGTACCACTTACAGTCCCTAGAAATGTCAGGTGAATGATCACCTCTGTGAATCTCTTTGGCTGTATGAACACCCTTTTGTAGCCTAACTTTGAAGCGATTATTCTTTCAAGACTCAACCCAATGAATGAAGTCTTCCTTGACTCTCTAGCACACAGAGGCTCACTGCCTTTATGTTCCTGACATTAACTCACCTGCTTCCTGTACAACCTAACGACATTCTCTGTATGCTCCCAGCTGGAGAGTAAACTATATCTTATTAAACTTGAATCTTCAGTATATGACATTTATTAGAGGAGTTTAATAATACTGAATGAGTGCTTAGTATAAATGTACTTATTTTAAAACATTCAAGACATTGAATATTCATGAGATAATGCATGTGGAAGGTCTTATCAAAGATAATAGTTCATGTTGATACTTGATGAAAGTAGAATGTACCACATAATATTTACTGTTATGTTTTGGGCCTCAAACTAAGTCTATGTCTTAGAGCTGACCTAAGATGATGCTTTTTCTTAGGATAAAAATTTCATAAGGAGCCAATTGTTTTCAGCCATGGGAGATGAGTTCTTTTAAACATTTGCTTACTTGACAATCAAATCAATTCTTCTCAAAGTCATGATGCATTACCTTTAACTCTGCAGCTGTCTTAAGAATGCCTAACAATATTTTTAGATGAAATGATCAGATTTTTGTAGGAACAAAGACAAAACACAGGAGAATTCATGGGTTTGCTGCTTAGAAGAGGCACAGTTGGAAAACCCGCACTTTAGTCATATAGTAATGCTTAAAATTTGAATTAGGAAGAACAGGTTGAGCATCTCTTGTCCAAAAATCCAGTATTTGTGAATGCAGACATGATACCAGTAGAAATTTTCATACCTGAACTCATGTGATGGATTACAGTAAAAATTCACATGAACTAAAATTATTGTAAAATTAATCACCCTCATTCAGGTTATGTGAATAAAATAAAATATAAATGTACTTCATTATTAAATGTGGGCCTCATTCCCCCAGATACCTCATTATATATATGCAAATATTAAAACAATCTGAAATTTGAAACATTTCTGGTCCCCAAAATTTCAGATAAGGGATGTTCAACCCACGATTAAAAATAAATGGACTACAATGAACATAAACAAGAAGTTAAAGTGCTGATGTAGTGTCTGGCTGATGCTAATTTCAGTCCTTACTTTGTCTGTCCAATTCGGTGCACCCTCCCTATGGCCTGCAGCTCATGAGCAGGGTTCAATATGGGCTCCACCAAGAGAACATGAGTTGCTTCAATGATAGTTAATCCATTAGAACCTGTGTGCAGGGGCAGCAGCAAAATATTGATTTGGGGATCATGTTTAAACGCTGATAGGTTCTCCTAAAAAAGAAAGGGACATTTTAATTTTAGCTGGAGCAGTTAAAATAAGAGCAGAATTTCATAGCTCATAGTAAAGATGTTAATGGTATATTAGGTCATTGTGATATTTAACAAGTAAGAAAATTAAATATATAATAACTAACTTTAGAAAATGGAAACTTCTTTCTTGTCTTTCACTGTGAGGAAAATTATCACCTAAGTTCTCTTGGGCTCTACTAAAATATAGTGGAAATCACAAGGTAAATGTATGTGATGTACATAAATAATATGAACTTACAAGAAAGAAAGGTGAATGTGAGATAAAAGACATGAATCTGCTAAATTTTGTGGGCACGTATGTGTGTACCTTACAATGTGTACCTGTAACTCTGCTAAAAGTGATATGAGAACAATTTCGACCATGGTACATTAGCCTGACATAGTTGATAGAACTTAATTCCAGGCCCAAGGCCCTGTTCAAAAAGTATATTGTAGGCAATCTTTTCCTATATTAAAGGATCTAAAGTCAGATGACTGTCAAAAAAGGATGGTCTAAGGCTGGGGATTTAGCTCAGTGGTGCTGCCGCCTGCCTCACAAGCACAAGGTCCCACGTTCAATCCCTGGTATAAAAAAAAAAGTAGAAATAAAAAAGATGGTCTTTTTAAGTGGTAAAATTAAAAAGACTGAAAATATCTCTTTTCTTTACTATGCTTTAAAATGCTAATTTTAGAATTAGTTAAGAACTCAATTCCCACTTTGGGGATTTATATGACACATGACAATAAACGTTAGTAAGTAAGCTAGTTAGCAGTTTTGGTTTGCAACCAAATTCACTTCAACAAACAAGAGGGAAATCTTGACATACCTGAAATGTCTTAACACGACTGATTTGTGCAAACTCCATGTTGTTGTCAGTAAGAGCTTTTGAAATAATATCTAATACATCTTGCCACTAGAACACATAAAACGTAAGAAACCCCGTATTTATACAGTTTTTATCTAAGAAAGATTTGAGAGGACTAAATCACAGTAAATTTTATCTCTCAGATTTAAGTTATATAGAGCAAATCTTTAAATATAGTACTATCAATATTATTTAGCTGTGCTGTAACATTGTTTTCTCTTGCACCATTGAAAAACAGGATAAAAACATGAGTGTGTTTGAAGCAATGTTTAGTGGATGTATTTACCTTACTTATCTTTCAAAAATAAAAAATGGAGATTTATTCTGTTCTTTATTCGATAATTTTCTTAACCTAATTAAGGTTAAATGTGAAATGAGACTTTAAAGGTCATAGATTCCAATTTTCAAATGTTACAATAAGAATATCTTTAAATAAATAAAATTAATATAAAATCATAAAACAGAAACTGCCTTGTAAAGTATTATCTAATTTCTCTAGAAATAATTGCATCTTAAGGATATGGAAAAAATTGAACATGAAAAAAATCTATCTGTAATTCTAACTCTAACCTACATTAGGGCAAGCATTAGAAATTAGCTCTTAGACATAAAACGATTAGAGACAGAAAGCAGGTCAGAGTTAATGTTGCAGAGGAAAATATGAACCATACCGTGGAGAAGACAAGGGCTTTAGCTCCTGGGTCTGTACGTTGTATTCTCATGAGAGTTCGGACCACAGCTTCTACTTTTGTGGAATGGCTACCCTTGGAACACAAAGAAGAAAATGCACCATTACCAAATAAATCTCAGGTAAGAATGGGAAAGAAATAATCAAAACCATACATGTCTCAAAACCAATGAGCAGGTACTTAAGCATTTCTTTTTTTATTTCATATTTTCTGGAAATTTTCTTTAGCTTCAAATTGTAGAAGAGAAAACTGACTATAGATGCATAATCAGAAATTCATACAGATATCAAGAATAAGATTTTTTAGTTAAGTAGCTAGGTTTTACAGTTACCAGTTACTCTCACTTATTTCAGATGTTATAGGTTTAGCAATGTTACGTACACAAAGAATAAAAACTCCAATGTTAAGAAAATAGGGAAGATTCAACCAATGAAGAATAATTTCTTAAAATTATAGACAATGATGGAGGTACTTAGGTTGAGGCAGATTTGAATGATGCTAACACTTTTTAATACGTGTGTTTTTTGCATTATTTACAACTATTCCCTCAAAAGAAGATGAAAACGATAAAGAGGAGAGACATAAGAAAGGTAGGAAAGTACACCACATGTTTCTGTTGGACTTAGGAGAGTACTGCTGGAATAGTACGTGAGATTTTGAATGAGGTAAGTCTAAATCCAACTCACAAGTCATATATGTTCTAACTTTCTCAGCTGTCTCTTCCTCATCTGTCAAACAAGATAATTATATCTACTTCCAAAGATGGCTGTGACAATGCAATGACAAAATGCATACACAACGTTTAGCCTAATACCTGGCAAAGAATGAACCCTTAATAACTTACTATCTTTTTGAGACTTTCAGTAAAAGTGTTAGAACAACTAAGATTATGCCAGGGTAGGGGGCGCAGATCTAATAAAAAAGCAAAAATATTTTCACAGTAGTATTAACATTCTCCTCAATCCTCTCAATATTATTTTTATTTGAAGAAGTATTCAAAGGAAAAAATATAAGTAAAACAGGGAGGAAATACTAATTTAAAGTTGACAAGCTAGAATCATGGAACAAGTTTTAAAATCCTCATGCTAAAATCCTGAGTCTACATTTATTTCTCTGGACACATAGACTTACAACCATACTTGCAAGATTAAAAAGTATTATAAAGGGAATGGTTTCAATCTAAAAATTATCTGTTTCCTGAGATAAAATGATCATTTAGTTTAGACACAATCATAAATTTCCCTTGCAGTGCCTTACTTTTCAAAACACTTCCAGTGATACATTAGGATAACTATGAACTCTTCCTTCTATTAAGCTGTTGCTTACAAAAATTCAAAAGAAAACCAAATAGGCTTTTAAACAACATTCCAAACTGAGGTGCCAAATCTATATAGGATAAGATTAGATTCTCCTATATATTTCTCTACATAGGATAAATTCAGTGTTAGCTGTTAATCTCTTCCAAATGCCACAGTTCTGAAGGATTCAGTTCTAGTCTAGTTACTTCCTACAATACTGAAGCATTACAATCAGAAGCTCAGCTTGGCAAGGTGCTACATGTAGAGTGAGATGAAATTCACACCTGCCTCTTCCATGTGGACCCGAAGTGGCTACTGAGAATAAGAATAATGGAGATAGAAGTTGGCGGCCCATATGTATCTGTGGCTTGACTTTTAGAAACAAAGCTAGTGAGTCGTTATGCAAGATCACTGCATAAAGGAATCTTTTCTAGATGATTTCACATTTTAGAATACAGATGAAAATGTAATCGATAAATCAGCATGAAAATGTCACTTCAAGTTATAAGATGCTATGTTGAAAATTTGCTACCTCCCTGAGTAAGAAACCATAATATGCTGTTAAATGAAAAAAAAAAAAAATGCCGTAGACAATAAAGGATTGCTGATGCGAAAAGGTAACAGAAAGGCAGTATACTGCAGTAGTCAAACCGAATAAAAGATAAAAATATGGTTTCTAGCTTTGCTAGGTATCTCATAAGCATTTTCTGGCTAACCTAAAGAATTATAAAAAAAAGCAATGTATGCTGACTGGGCAAATTAGCTAATAGAATTAACTACACAGGCTAAAAAACCCTCTGAATTAAAAAAAAACAACAACCCTTTTTTATGCCCAACATTCTCTAAACACTACTGAGCCTGGCAGTTATCCTTTTAAATAGGCTTTTTAGAAGTGTACATAAAAATGCACATACAATCTACAAGGATTCTTAAACATACTTTGAAACATGGACCTTTTAACATTGTATCCACCACCCTTATAATACAGAATTTATGTATACACCTTGGTTCAATGGCTGCATGTTCCTGTGTATAAAATTTATTAGATATTTATTAATATATATTTAAACTGATGTCATTCTGCTTTGCTATTACAAGCAGTATTTCACTGCAGCTATGCTTTAACTTAAATCTTTACACTTACTTGTGTAAGTGATTTTTGTTGGAGAGTGGAATTGGTCAAAAGTTAGAAACACCTTTAAATATGTAGATTTTGGTATATTCCTCATCAAACTATTTAAAAATGCTGTAACTCTTAACAGTTAAATGTGTTTGCTTCTTTCCACACTTGGTAAAGTTCATTTTTTGTCACTTTGATTGGTGAAATGAGGAATTTTCCTGAAAGTGACTCGGAATATAATTCACTGGCTCTTTAGAAACCTTCCTTTATAAAACAGAGAATTTATATCTTTTGCCAAATTAAGACATTTTCTTTCTGATATGTAAGGTTACTTGATATAAATGTTAAATGCAGATCATATATTTTTTCATCCATTGTTTGTATTTTATGGTGTTAAATGCAAGAATGTAAATAAAAGTACTTTATTAATATTTTATACTAGTTGTGACAGCTTCCAAATACTTGATGAATGACATCTGGACACTAAGCACTTTTTTTTTCTTTGTTCTATCAAGGATCAAACTCGGGACCTTACACTTTGCAAGGCAGGTGGCGGAACAACTGAGCTAAATCCCCAGCCCTCTAAGCACTTTTTGACTTCACTATTTTATTAGATTTTTTGTGCTTGGCATTTATTCTTTCATAGAGAAAGAAGAGGAATTTTATTTGGAGAAGAAAAGCATTTTCCTCAGCTGTCCAGCCATGGTTATATGTAATTTCAGACGTTATTATATCATACCTCAGAATATAGTACACTTCTGTTATTCACTGCTGACATATTATTTGAAAACAAAAATTAAATGACATTTACCTTTGTCTCAGAGTATCACAGTTCTTTGTAAACTGTATGCATTCAATCAGTTTATTTAATGGAAAACATTAATGTTTACATTTAGGCTTTTCAATTCCAAGTGTGCTAAGTAAAACAAAATCAAAACAAGAGGATAAGAATACAATTTATAACTAAAAAGTTTTCATTTATTCAACAAAATCAACAATAAGCAAATCAAATCTTATAATTATTCTCAAGCTTTCCACTTATAAAAGCTAGGACTTTGACAGAAGTGGTAGTGAAAGGGAAGAGACTCGGACCTAACACAAACAGGCTCTGTGGTGGCGTCTGTGTTAGATACAGGATGATGAAATCATTCGAACTGGTATAGAAAAAGTCAGCAACTGGAGGGTGGTACCAGATATTCAGGGTGATTGATGTTGATTTTTCTTTTCATCTACTTATCAGCAACTTTAGAAGAGGTCAATAAGGTCAGCAACCTTATGGGCTTTGGTTTCTGGTCTTCAGAAAAATAAATTCCTACCACATTAAGCTTTTATGCATGAACATTCTTCTTTCTTCTCTACTTGTGCTACTTTACTTCCAAATGAAAAGCAAGATCCACAAGCAATTCTGAAAGAACATGGCTGGTCTAGAAGTAGTCAACTGAAGTGAACAGATAGAACAGACCTTTATTTGCCCCACATATCACTCAAGTCCTTTCAACATTTCAAGTAGTTTATGTTTGGTTATTTAAATCATTCTTCAACAAAGACATAAAAAGCATCCTTCACCATGATCAAGTGGGATTTATCCTTGGGATGCAAGAATGGTTCAACATATACAGATTAATACATGTGATACACTATTTCATCAGAATGAAAGATAAAAAGCATATGATCATTTCAAGGGATGAAGAAAAAGCATTTGACAGAATTAACACCCTTTCATGATGAGAACTCTCAACAGATTAGGAATAGAGGGACTGCACCTCAATGCCACAAAGGCTACACATGACAAGCCCACAGCTAAGATCATACTCAATGCTGAAAAAAGACAAGGATTTCCAGTCTTATCACCCCTTTTCAACATTGTACTAGAAGCTCTTGGGAGAACAATTAGGTGATAGAAATAAATAATAGATATTTTAATAGTAATGTATGAAGTGAAATTGTCTTCATTGACAAAATGAACTTAGCTGTTGAAAACCCTAAAGACTCTACCACAAAATCTATAGAACTAACAAATAAATTCAGTAATGCTGCAGGATACAAAAGGAACACCCAAAAATCAGTAATGTTTTTTATGCTAAAAAAAAAACTACCTGAAAAGTAAATCAAGGAAAAGTCTCATTTATAAAGCCATCAAAAAAATAAAAGACTTTGGAATAAACTTTGTAAAGGAAGTAAAAGATCTGTACACTGAAAACTGAAACACTGATGGAAGAAACTGAAGAAGACACAAATAAGTGGAAAGATATCTGGTACTCATGGATTGGGAAAGTGAATATTGTTAAAATGACATATTACTCAATGAAATACCTTTCAAAATTTCAGTGTCATTTTTCATATGACCTCAAACAGCCAGTGTTGAGTAAAAAGAACAAAGCTAGAGGTAATATACTTCCTGATTTCAAAACATATTACAAACCTCAGTAATCAGATCAGAAAGGTACTACCATAAAAACGGGTATACTGACCTTCATACAGTACAGGTGGGAGAACCTAGAAATAAACCCACATACACAGTCAACTGCTCTTTGACAGAGGTAACAAAATGGCACAGTGGAGAAAGGACAGTCTCATCAACGAGTGGTACTGGGCAAGTTGCATGGAGAAGAATGGTCCTTTATTTCATCCCAAATACAAAAATCAATTCAAAATGG